TAAGCTACAGAAGCCTGTAGTTTGGTATCCATGCTACATCGAGTGCCTATTTCGAGGCGCACGGGACTTTGTCGTGCCGTCCTGAAAAGTTTAACTTATTGTCACGGAAAACCTATCTCCTCCTACAGTTTTCAAGCTACAGCAATGAGACATACACCATTCGATTCGTAAGGAAATTACCTAAAAATTTGATGATCATTTATTTTAATTTCTGTCTGGTTCGTTTTTTATATGGGGGAGAAGGGGGGGTGAGGGGGGAAAATGAGAAAAATGGGATAAAACGCACATTAAAAAAAACTAAGGGGAAAATGAGAAAAGTGATCATCAAATTTTTAGGTATGGTCCTTACAAACCGAATGATATGTGTCTTGATGTTGTAGGATGATATTTGTAGGAGGAGATAGATTTTCTAAAGTACCCCTTTTTAGCCGTTTTCTATGAATTTCACGTTTTCTATCAATTTTTTCGAAAAATTCATAGAGGCAAAATGTTATTTTTTTTACATTTTACGTATGTATTTGAAGTTTCATGATGGTCGGATAATAACTGTAGAAGTTTTTCCGGAGGGTAGTCGGTCCCCTTAACCGCCCGGCCTCCTTGCCGATTCTGTCCAGAAACTGTCGCACAGAGCTGGGATCGAACCCGCGCCTCTCTGCTCCCAGCTGCCTCCAATATTGGTAATCTCTGATATTTAACCACTGGGCCACCCTGCCCCAGGCACGGTTTGAGCTGCGGTCGACAACGGACGTTGGTGAGCTGCCTAGGCAGCCTAGCCACAAGCCAGAATATCTAATTTTGAAAGTCAGAATTCTTTTTGCTTCGTATTTAGGAAAACTTAGGAATCATTAACCAGAATCATAATTTCAAGTTCAACTTTGACGATCTCGCGCCATAATCTTGCGCTCCTAAGTCCTATTGAACCACCTTTACCAATAAGGGTTAAGGGACTAAAGGGAGGCACTGAAAGATCTAATTTTCATCCCTGAGACACAAAGTCCAAGCTTGCAAAAGTTGCCATCAACAGCTGTATCCTTATCCTCAGCCATCCCAGTGCCAGTCTCTCCTTTTGGGAGATTGGCTGCCTCTGGTGACTGCTGGTCTTTCCAGAAACAGCAACTTTGAAGGTTTTCATGGCAAAAATGAATTGTGTGAACTCTCCACTAGCTCATAACTTCTAGAGATAAAATCCTGACTAGGCCTATGGCTCAGAGACCTGGCATGCAAACAAAAGAACAAGAGAAAATATACTGAGTTTACCAAGCAGGTAGAAACTCTAGCCTCTGTCCTCTGACTCCAGTAAACTGAGTAAAGTAATCATTATTGAACCAGTGACCAATGATTGCCCAGTTGAAACATTTTTTTTTTTGTAAATGATTTTGTCCTCAGTGAGGCATTAGCTGGGTCTCCTTTTGGTAGGGCAAGAATTGCAAAATTTGGTAAAAATATAGGATGCAGGATTCTAGTAATTACCTTGAATTTTGAAAGATGAGCCTGAGGTTGAGATGTCTGCTTTTTTAAGCACCACTCAACTTGGTTCCTGAACCATAAAGTGTTGTGTGCCCATCAATCACTCAATTGACTCAGAGTCTATTGGAGTTATTGGGCCCATGGGCAAGCATGTTGCAAATGAGGATCTTGCTGAAGCACTGGCTTTAGGGCTTTAGCAGGCAAATGAGGCAATACCTACTGGTGCTACAGCAGAAAGGATTCTGAAAGGTAAAGAAAAGATCAGCAAATCTATGTTTAGAGTGACATTTAATACAAGCACATTACCAACTTTTGTCCACTTGTGATTACCTGCAATTTCAAGTAAACCCATTCACTGCTAAACCATGGCAATGTTTCAGATGTCAAGGCTTTAGGAACAGTCCCATAGGCTGCAGGAGTGCTCCACACTGTGTAAAGTGTGGTGGTGCCCACAGCATTGAAGATTGCACAACACAAGGTGCTCCCCATTGCTGTAATTTTGGCAGTGAGCACACAGCTATGGAGGGCATAAATTCATGAAAGAGGCCCAGCCCGACCAGGAGGTTGAGAAGGTCAGTTTTTGCTTAGTTTAATTTACAGGAAAAAGTTTTTACAAGCAGCCATGAAATCACCACAGCCACTGGGAAGATGCAATTGCAGTTGGGGGCTTTCTACAATTGGACTAAGCTGTGGGGAGTGACCTTTAACCTTGCTAACCCCTGTCTCCTCTATGGAGGTAGAGGCTAACATTCCTCCCCTTAGTCCCTTAACCTTTCACCACATAGAATTTACATGTAAATATTATTTCTTCTTGATACAGCTGCCCCAAGGTCCCATTGTGTCTGAGCTGTTCAACCCAAATGTGCCACATACTGGTATCATGCGACAGCAAACCAACTTATTGCCCAGTTATGTTCCCCATACAAAGGCAATCTTGACTTCACTACAAATCCAAGTCCCTCCTCTGCTTACCTCTCCTTTAATCTCCCCATTCTCCCCATGGTTCAATTCTGATGATTTCTTCACTGCAGATTTTTCTCCTTCAACAGTATTGGACACATCCTCAGAAGCTGCTGTTCTGCACTGCTCTGCCATCATGCCATGTTGCGCGGCTTTGTTGTGTTTTACGACTCTGATGGGTCTTGCAGCTCTGCGTTATTTTTTTGGCTCTGCCGTTTTTCCAGCTCTGCCGTGTTTTGCGGCTCTGCTGTCTTTCACAACTCTGCCATGTACTATAAATATGAAAATTATGATCTTTCTGTGAAAGCAACCAGCTCTGCATAATCAGTTCCAAAGTACAGGCTCTGCCTTCTTATAGTCGTTAGAATTGGAATGATTAACATCGACAGGAATTCCAAATAAACCAGCATATTGTTTGTTGACTGCAAGTAGAGTCGTGTTAATTACTGTGTGTTTGCAGAGCTTTTGTTCTTCTTTCTCTATCATTATTAGCCCAATCTATCTCCCAACTGCTGAACTTTTTCATCAAAGATGTTTGCAAAAAGTTTAGCTACTGAATGTTGCTGAGAAAATAATTCATGATTTCAGTGCTGAAGTTTTGGTCTCAAGTTTTGGCAGGAAACATGCATCTGAGGCTCCCAATCCTCCATGCCAGGTTGATTATCAAGGTCCTGGAAGTGGTGAGTGATCTTGTATAACAAATTAACAATGATGTGCAATTAATGCAATCTTACTTGAGCTTTGATTCAGTTATTGCTTCAAGAAGTATTGAGATAATTACTATATTGATCTCATGTCCTTGGCTCATTCTAATTAATAAAATTGTATGGTTTCAGACCTCAAATAATTGTCTTGGTTCTCTCCTCTCCATTGTCATAATTTGAATACATGATGGTACAATACATAGTTCAGCAAAGTTTTGATCACAGTCATTCTGTTTGTCTTAATTTTCAAAGTGGAAAAGCTAAACTGCAAAATTTTGCTTCTGCTACTTTTCCTTGTGTAATTTGTTCCATTTTTTCAGAAGGTATGATTTCATATATATATTTATACTGTAGTATCTGTCTCAATACATAGTTTATTTGCCTTTTTTTTTTGACCAATGGATACTTGAACAAATTGTCAGATAATTCTACTGTATTTTCCTGACTTGTTTTTTTTTCTACAAATTATAGAAGAATCTGGCTAAATCATGAATGGTATCTGAGGTAATTTTTTTAGTAACGTTAATTTTTCTCAGTTGTGTGCTGGTGTTTTATAACTTCATAACTTATACATATAACTTATAACTTGATGGTTCTCCCAAAGGTTCTGTTCATAGTCATCTGTGCTGGCTACAGTAACCTGCGTGTCTCAATTGTCACTCCGACTCTGCGGGTCTTCTCCCTTGCCTCCATTGTGCTGGCTGGGGTGCTTGCTCCTCCATCTCTAATATATGAACTTTATCTCAATGATCCTAAACGATTTATATCAATAAAGGTTAGTTCTCAATGATCCTAAACGATTTATATCAATAAAGGTTAGTTCTCAATGATCCTAAATGATTTATATCAATAAAGGTTAGTTTTAATTGCTTACTGATTTACTAAAATTAAGGTTTGTATCTCTATTTCGTTGGTAACATTGAAAAATCTAATAATTTTCCTCTGTTTAGGATTGCATATAATTCATGATAGAACTAAAATGTCATCATTGTTGATCAAGTTTATTGAATAATCTCCAGGCTAAGATATTTTTATTAGCTGCCATATTTACTGTTTGGTCAACCAATTGAAATTAAAGGTAAAATAGTTTTTTTTTGGGCAGAGATAATGGATATGTAGTAGAAATTTCTTTCTCCTGGGAAGCTCTAAGTCACTTGTTAGAAATCACTAAATGAGCTAGATCCTGAGGCATCTCTAGATGAGCCAGATCCCAATAATTATAATGCATGTTCAAGGTGAAAACCACTATAAAAAATTTTTTTCATAGCAGATATTGTTGCTTCCATAAAACATTTTATTGTTAAGCTGCAGATGCACATCACTGACATTTAGAGTGATTGGTCTTTTGAAATTTGAAGATTGCCTATGACTGCAAGTCGAGTGCCATCACATCCTAGATTTATCATAAAGGAGCAAGGATAAACAACTTGGAATATTTTTACATAAATTATGTAAACGCATTCAATTTATTAAGATGCTTACTCGTAATAGCAGTACATTTACTGTAAGTAGACATTTAGTGAATAGGCATTGAAGCGCCATTAGACTCCTGAGGTAATTCATTATTTATAGATAAGAAAACTCCAGCCAAATAAATTACTGTTTCTATTTGATGTCACAATTTCTTCTATTCTAGGAGATTGCTGCCACAGCATTCCTGTGCTGTATCTTCATGGCCCCCTGTGTGGAGCTGCTAAGTTTTTGGCTGCCGTCGCAGCTCTCAATGTTTGGACCATCTCGTGAGCAGGCCTTTATCTTCTCTGGACTTTGTGCTGCCTCTGCTGCACTTTATGCTCTTGATGCTCTTCTTGCCTGGCCTCATCGTAAACATTCTTGATGGATTGATGCTCGTCCACTTCTACCCTGAGATGAAGATTTCTGAGCACCTAGCAAAAAGGCATTTTTTCTATCTTCAAAATTGATTTCAAGTGAATAGGTCAATGACAGTGCAGCCGTGAGACAAGATTCAGCAGTGAATGTTCTAAAATCTAAATCAATCAATCTTCTGTCATGAGGGTAGCCAAGGTTGCTGATGCCTAGGATGACATGCACTGAATGTGCAGAAAAATTAAAATTACTGCAGTTAGTTTGAAGTAGTTGGTGATGTGTGAGGAGAAGAAATGGCAGTACTGAGAAGAGATAAGGATGTGTGGCAGGAGGGAAGCTGCATTGTAGAGGGGAGACCAAGCAGTGAATGCATGGATAGGCATGATGCATCTTTTTGATTTCCAGACAATATCTGAGAAAATATAAGTTGCATGAGATTAAAGGACTTGCTGTGTGTGACTGTATAGAGGGCGATGTGTAGGAGATATACCAATCATTGAAGGTTTTGCATTCTCAAGATAAAATAATTTAAATAGTGAGTCATAAAAAATTCTCGTGAAATTAATTTGAACTTAAAAAAATTAAAGATAAGAGTTTTCTCCAACAAAGATCATCATGGACATGTATATAAACCTAGATTGCTCTTGTATTCACTGCAGAGTTTCAGCATTGAACTCGTACCGGTAAACATTTAATAAGGCAGTTTTTTTTAATGTTCCCTTCCCTCCCACATTGCTTACTCCATTTACACCCACCCTGACAAGGGCCATGTTGATGGCCATTCTGTTGACATGGGTAATGTTGCCACTCTTATCGTTGACACAGGCAATGTTGATGTTGACTTTGCTGACATGGGTAATGTTGATACTCATCTTGTTGACACAGGCAATGTTGATGTTGACTTTGCTGACATGGGTAATGTTGATACTCATCTTGTTGACACAGGCAATGTTGATGAAGGGCAGTTGTGGGGTCAAGTTGTTGTGTAGGCAGGGCAGTTGTGGGGTCAAGTTGTTGTGTAGGCAGGATTTCTTACATTACTCTTCTCTTTCTGTCATGTGGGTGGCCGAGATCTTGTGTAAGCAACTCCTTGTTCAAATGTCTTCCTTGTTATTGCTGTTCACCTGTTCCTCATTTTCACTTCGCCTCTATGGGCTGCTAATGCGGTTTATTTCCGGCTAGCTTCAGCAGCTTGGCCACTTGAGACCTCCCACCCCTTTATTGCTAATGAACAATTCTTTAAGATCTAGAGATGAGGTAGAATATCCGAAAATGATTATGACTAAACACAGATTTAATTTTTAATATGAGAAATTTTGGATAATTGAGACCTTCCACCTTGTTGATGTTATGCATGCATAACTTTTTGAGCCAAATAACTCGGTGACTAGAATGCTAATAAACTACTTGTCCACTTAGCCAACTTAACTTTACTCATAATACTTCCGAAGATCTTCCTCGAGATGTTAATGCACAAGGTTGCCTCTGCACCTGAACATGTTAATCACCATGTGAGGTTATTGTGTTCATGTTTAATTTCATAGTTAAGTTGGTTAATGATGCATGAGCAAAACATGGTCTGCTCTACAGACGTTGGTCTGGCAAGTACAGAATCAGCTTACATAATACACTTGTTGTAAAACTCGAGCTTATGAGCTAACTGCTATCAACTTTGTGGGCTTAAAGAATGAGGAAAACTTGATAATTTCGAGTTGGAACAGAATTTGATGATGCTGATATATGAATTAGATTAGACAATATGGCAATTGTTATTGATGATATCACTCCTTATTCATTTATTTATTTTGTTGTTTTTCGCGCATTTTTTGTTCTGCTAAACAGAAACTAGCGCCAGCACATTAGTATTATGCCTCTCAGTGCCGGGGCATGAGTCTTGTGAAGAATGAATGTGAATGGATTGTTATAAGTGGGGATATTATTAAGTCTTATAGTGGTAATTGTAGAATTCTTCGATTTATTACCTATAATATTAAATTTATGGCTAACCTACAAGTATTAATCCATGCTATTTATTCCAATGTTGGATTTATATTTGTTCATTAGTCAAACAGTTGTATGAATTGTTTGCATGTATTAACTCTGAATTTCCTTTGTATTTTAAAGAGTTGCTCAATTATAAATATTCCAGAACTTGTACTTTGTGTGAAGAATTTTGACGATATGATTGTGTTTTTGTGGAACTGAAAATGTTCAACAATCAATTATAGTGAGAATGTTGCCTTCATTAAACTTCTGTGGCTTTTATTAAGTTGTGGAGCCTAATGAAGTGTAGGCTGTGGCCAGGTTCATTGACTAGTCTCTTGTATAATGATTCATTATAAATAATGAACTGTTACCTTTAGTGTAAGATGCCCCAAGTATACCTCAACAAACTGTACTTATAATGATGTATATCACTCATCTCCCTTTGTATTACCTACATGCTGGGTAGGTAAGGGTTAAGTTTACACATTTATTTCATACTATGTACCCTAACAAATTAGAAGCAATATTTCCTCTTGTACCTGTTCTAGTCCATTTGTACTTAATTTTGTCATCGTACTGTAATCTATTATAGCTCCTTCAGATTTTCTAGATGCATTTTCATTACAATGTTTTCAAGTATGTCATCGTTATTAACATAGGGTAATGATGATAATTCCATGATAATTACTTCATCATTCTAGTGATGATTGTGACCGTGTTCCACATTCGCACTACAATGTTTTCAAGTATCATCATTATGAACTTTATGATGATAGTTCCATAATCATAACTTCATCATCCGAGTGATGATATCGACTGTATTCCATTTAGTGGTGATACTAAAGCTACCCTGGCTCTGCAATCTCTGGCATGATACCGCCTGCTTGTTCCCGCTACGACGTCTCCTGTAGTTCTGCTCAATTGCTTTGTCTTGTAAATTGCCTGATCCTGTTCGTCTTCATCATTTATGTTAAGGTAACTCATAGATTTTTCTTCAATAATTCCTAATGTCGTGACCCTCATTCCATTTATTATGATATGTATTATGAAGTTGGCACCCACGTCACTTGTGTACTGGGAGATGTGTTCAAAAGTGTGTTTATTTGTAAGGAGAAGAAACTCGTTAGTATAGCATTAATTGTTATGTGTTCATGAAGCGATCTCTATGCTTAACTATTCCTTCAGTCCCATTCTTACTCAGTCTAAGCAAGGGACAAGTTTGTGCAAGCAAATAATCCAATAGAGCCTACAAATTGATTGTGTCTGCCTTTTCTTTGACCTGTACTTGTTTATCGTTATTTGTGACTTGTAAAGTCATTGTTATTTGTGACTTGTAAAGTCATTGTTATTTGTGACTTGTAAAGTCATTGTTATTTGTGACTTGTAAAGTCCCAGGTTCATAAGTGGCAGCGCAGCATATGTCTGCTTTGCTAAATTCTTCTTGAAATTAATAAAGTTGTTTTAAAACAGGCAAGTTATTTGGAAGAAGATGAGTATTGAACGGGCAAACAATTAGAACCTGAGTAATGAGCCTGACAAGTTTGATGTCTAATAACAAGTCTGATGGCTGAACTTTAAGTTGAACTTGTAAGGAATATTGATCAGGAACTATCCCAGGGAGCGTTGGGTTCTCCCAGTGCTTAGGGGGCAGCTTCCCCTGGATCTCCCTAGCATAGAAAAACATAATTCATTTGATCGTGACACAATATGATTATAGTTAAGTGTGTTGGCAATAGGAGAGATGTTCTTTAAAAATGCAAGCATCTGCGCTACCGATGAAAGGTTAGCAGTTAAAAAATAATTGTAAAAGTTTAATGAGATTTAAAGCGGCGAACTCAAAGCATATATAAACTTTTAGTGAAGTGTTAGTGTATATCTTGTCTCGTAATGAAACTTTGTAAAATTTTGTAATGAAACTTGGTAAAATTTTACATGAATAAGTTTTGCACTTGAGGATGGTTTGCCAGCAGGATAAGTCTCGTATAAAAGATCTAAAGCTATAAGACATTTGTCATTAAAATTATTAGTGAAAACGTATTGCCACAGATTCTTGGTGCAAATTTTTTCCCATTGTTGATGAAGATTCTAGCCACCTCAGTATTTACTTCACTTAAGCACTAAAGCCCGAGAAGATCTGTATCTCGTGACTTATTTTGAGTGAGTTTGTAAAGAAAATATTGTGGGACACGCCGCATAACATCCATGCATTCGAAATAGACTATTCGGTAAGTGGTTCATTCCTATTTAATTTTAATGTATTCAAGATATTCACAATGAAATGTATAAATTATTTACACTTGAACTGATTCATAAAAATATTAGTTACTGGTAGTAGTGAAAATAGTAGTAGTAATTAGTAGAGCGGCAATAAATAGATTTAAATTCTAATTAAAAATTACCTAATAGATTTAAAATCAACAACGAAACGTCGTTGCCCGCAGACGCGATGGAGGACCTGGCATGGGGGCGGGAGGAGGGCACGCCTGACCTACTGACGGAGGCCTTCAAAAGGCTGGTGGACCAGAACCTGCAGGGGGCGGTGCTGCTCAGGGAGGTGAGGGGGCTCTGGGGGAGCATGGGAGGACTTCCTGAGGGGGCGGTGCTGCTTAGGGCTGTCTCTTATACACATCTAGATGTGTATAAGAGACAGGGCTTCCTGAGGGGGCGGTGCTGCTTAGGGAGGTGAGGGGGATCTGGGGGAGCATGGGAGGGCTCCCTGAGGAGGCGGTGCTGCTCAGGGAGATGAGGGGGATCTGGGGGAGCATGGGAGAGCTTCCTGAAGGGGCGGTGCTGCTTAGGTAGGTGAGAGGATCTGGGGGAGCATGGGAGGGCTCCCTGAGGAGGCGGTGCTGCTCAGGGAGATGAGGGGGATCTGGGGGAGCATGGGAGAGCTTCCTGAAGGGGCGGTGCTGCTTAGGTAGGTGAGAGGATCTGGGGGAGGGAGCATGGGAGGGCTCCCTGAGGAGGCGGTGCTGCTCAGGGAGGTGAGGGGGATCTGAGGGAGCATGGGAGTTCTTCCTGAGGAATGGGAGTGGGAAGTCTGGACGACAGGGTGAGACCTGCGGCCCCAACCTGTACATGCGAGCGCAGGTTTCGCGATAATGTGCAGGTCTCAGGGGCCACAGTGTGGACCGTTCTTTGGAGTGTAATGGCTGACATTTCATATGAAATATGGCCAACATGTTTTGATCATGCATGTTGCAGTCATGTTGTGACATGTATGTTGTCATCATTCATGTCGGCATCATTCATGTCATCATCATTCATGTCGTCATCATTCATGTCGTCATCATCCATGTCGTCATCATCCATGTCGTCATCATCCATGTCATCATCATCCATGTCGTCATCATTCATATCATCATTCATGTTGAGATCATGCATGTCGTCATCATGCATGTCGTCATCATGCATGTCGTCATCATGCATGTCGTCATCATGCATGTCGTCATCATGCATGTCGTCATCATGCATGTCATCATTCATGTTGAGATCATTCATATTGTCATCATGCATGTCGTCATCATTCATGTCGTCATCATTCATATCATCATTCATGTTGAGATCATTCATGTCGTCATCATGCATGTTGTCATCATGCATGTCGTCATCATCCATGTCGTCATCATGCATGTCGTCATCATGCACGTTGTCATCATGCACGTTGTTTGTGTTGGGCAGGAGCTGATGCTGGAGACATGCCTACGAGGCGACGCTACTGCCAGGTGGGTGCTGGCCAGCAAATATCAACTAAACTAACTCAGAAATATTTTAGAAGACAGTGCTATCAGTCGTGAAATTTAATACTTTTTATTTATTCTTCCACTAAAAAATTGATTTGATTACCTCTTAAATTTTTTTAATGGTTAATTAATGGTTAATGGAGGTTTGATTTAATAGTGATTTAATTAATAATTTTATTTAATTTGAAAATTAATGGCTGTTTAATGGTAAATTAATAGTTAATAATGGTTAATTAAATTAAATGAAATTAAAAATTTCAATTTTAATTAAATTAAAGTTAATTAAATTGAGTTTGTGGTGTGTGAAGGTTACGCGTGTGCGAGCAGACGCTGCAGCGGCAGCCTGATGCTGCAGGCCTGCAGATGCAGCAGCTGCTGCATCGTCTGCAGGAATGTCATGCCCGGCAGCAACCTCTGCACGAGTAATTCTTATATTTTTTGTGCTTAGAATTTATATTTTGTGTGTGATTGTTATGTAGGTATATATCATTGATTTATATCGTACTTATTAGTATATCGTACTTATTATAGTTCTTATTCACTCAGTTTGTCCACCTGTGTCATGTCTTAATCAGATTTTGCCCCACCGATGTCGATTTTGACTCTTCATTTATTAATTTTTATTTTATTTTGCCGTACGTCATTTATCTTTCGAAGTATTGCTGTGCTGTAAGGCACTCATGTACTCTTTTCTGCCGTCTCTTTTTACGAAACATCCTAATTTTATTGCTATATTGGATATTATATTGCATTGTTTCGAGCATCGTTCTCTATGGCCCAGGTGCCTTATGAGCCTGGAAGCGCTGGCGCGCATACGTCCTCCGACGACGGCGGACGCCGCGACACTGACCACCCCACACGCGGGCACCCCCCTGCTGGCGCTCCCCCTCCCCGCCCTGCACAGGCTGGTGGGGCTGGGGCTCACGAGCTGGACGGCCATCAGCAGCTGGTCAGAGTCTGGTCTTACGCTCGTTATTTCCGTGTTTAAATTTATTCATTCTTGCTCGTGTATGTTTCCCATTTTTTTTTGCATTCATTTTGATATTTCTGCTTATATTTTTGCATAGTTGTACTTATATTTTTGCATAGTTGTTGCAATTTTGCTAGTTTAGTTTTTTTTTGACCGATTTAAATGAATGTCTTTATTGATGTTGCTGTTCTCACATTGGAGAACAGCTGAATAAGACCGTTTCATCTTATTTCTGTATATTTATTCCGTTCATTTATTATTTAGTCGAAGACTTCTTGAAAGCTTTTTTCTATTTCTTATACTTTATCTCAATTGTCATGCTCTAAAGCCTAGTTTCTTGCAGGATAAACGTTTTTTCAAGAGTGCTTTAATTTATTGTGTACTACATTGTTTGAGCTTTTTAAGCTTTCAGTACACTAGAGGTTTATTTTTTATTTTTTATTTTATTTATTTAAAAAATTTATTATTTTTAAGTCTTCAGTACAGTAAAAGTTTATACGCCTATTCTTACATTGCAGTTTACCACAGCACCCGAGCGTGACCAAGTCTCTGCTGCAGGAGGTCCTTACGACCATCACGGCGCTGCCTGTTCCTGCTGGCACTCAGGGACATCAGCATGCCATTGCGAAGGGCAGTGCCACTACGCCACTACAGATGCATGGCACTGCCACAAAGAGTGCCACTTGTCCACCACTAAGAATTGACGGCAGTGACACCAAAAGTGCCACTTTTCTATCACTACAAATGCATGGCAGTGCCACCAAGAGTGCCAGCGTAGAGGCACCTGTCGAGCTCTGTCTTGCCCTCATAGGTGCCGCCTTTGGGACCCCGGCGCTGCCGAATCCCAGATTACAAAACCTGGCTAAAAAAATCCTGCAAATTCTCACCATCAAAATTTTCAAGTTTGTCCTCAAGCTCTGCGATCCCGTCGATGGAAGTGATCTAGCCAAGGGCGATCCAGCGATAATTGTGCCGCAAGCAAACGTCGATAAAACGATCAACGATCGACCTGTGGATGAGTCCAGCGATCGAACCTTGATCGAGCCAACGCAGTGGGAGGACTGCGCCCTGGTGCAGTTCTACGATCTACTGCTGCAGGGGGTAGACCAGGTGATCTACTGCTGCAGGGGGTAGACCAGGTGATCTACTGCTGCAGGGGGTAGACCCTGTCTCTTATACACATCTAGATGTGTATAAGAGACAGACCATATAGGTAAAGAGCCTGGAGCCCTGGACCATATAGGTAAAGAGCCTGGAGCCCTGGACCATATAGGTAAAGAGCCTGGTCTATATAGCTCAAGATTCATGTGATGCCCCCTGAGCCTCTAATCTGACTGGCAGCACTGGCTGCCTTCAAACATCAAGTTGAACATTTGTTCTGGTATCCTGTGATAATGTAGTCCAAATTTATGTGCTGAATTGGACATGTTTGCATTTTTATCATTTGATTATAAAAATATTGGAATGAACATGTCTTATAGGCTCAGAATAATTTTGATAAAATGTATATATTAACAAATTATCCCTTTAACTAAATATTTTTATTTTCCTGGATCTATGGTTGTGCCAAATATGCAAAACTAAAAGCAAGAAAAAGGTTGTTTGGCTTACAACAATTTAAAAACTATTACCTATTTAATCTAACATAAAATTTTATGTTTCAGATAATTATTTAGTTCTTAACTGTTATGTTTTTTATTTCTTGCCTCAAATGTTCATAGGAAAGCTGTCCATCAAACAGCAGTAGGGAGTTTATAGCATTTGTTGTTGAGTACTCACCTAGAATGCTGCTCATGATGAAGTTAATTTTACCTCTGCTCTGCTGGCTGTGCATTCAAGGTAATCTTTTATTCTTGGTCTTTTCCATGGCTGTGTACTCTCATTTTTATGATGATTTCATTTTATCTGTGCAAATTATGTGTTGGAGGTGGGGGACATCTTCATGTACATATATAACTGTAGTATATGTATGTAATTTTTGGATGCTAATTGTGAACAATTACTTATTTGAGATACATGTGTACAAAATTTACTAGTGTTTGATAAATATTGTTTCCTTCGGTTTCCAGCAGGTGAGACAAACTTGTCTGCTTCCTATCAAATTTGTAACATAAATGGAAAAAATTAGGAATAAATTGCTTCATTGTTAAAGTGATCTTTTACATTGAAGATATATGTAAAGGAGTACCATAAATTTGATGGCTTCTCTGATTCAAAAAATTTTCAGCTATCACTATGAGGAGATTTTCAGAATTTTCTTCAGCTGTCACCTCCTGCTAAGCATATTATCAACAAGTTTCAATTAGAATCTTCTGTAACAGTACTTGAAAATGTGTCTGGGTGGCTTTTTTATTTAAATTTATCTATAGTATTTGCAGTTCATTTTACTCCACATTGATCTAAAATATCGATATGGTCTGATTGAGTTAGGATAGGTATATGTTTAAGATGTATCATAAATAATATGTTGTTAGAGGTATTGTTATGGGTATTTTAAAGGTTAAAACCTTTATAAAGGCAGGCATGTAACAATAAGAATGTTAGATGTGATTCTGTTCTCATGAAGATTGGCTGTTTAGATATGTAAAGATTAGGTAGCTTCAAGAAACTCTTTAATTCTTGACATTCATTATGCTTATGTTAACTTTAATTCTAAGGATATAAACTTCAAATAAAATTTAATGATGCTGGTCTGTGCAGGTGTGGAAGGAACAAGCCGATCTCCAGTGCGGTGGTGCACGGTGAGCAACGCAGAGTATGCCAAGTGTACGGCTCTGGCAGCTGCAATTGCCGATGACTACATTGCATTTGCCACCACCCACACCACCCTCCAGTGTATCGAGGTGAGTCAGCTGCATTCTTGCTCTTATCCTTATGCATTAATGTGCAAATTCTCAGTTATCATCTTGAAATATTATTGTGAATGATATACATATTGTTTCATTTGATGATTCAATAATCAAACCTTCATTTCGTTTTTGGATTTCTCCACTATAAAGTGGACATGGTGCTATTGTCTGTGTAAACCAAGCACACAACAAAGCTGACTGTAACATTATCAGCAAGTATGATAAATTCTTTTTATTGCCAGACTGTGAATTCTTCTTGTTTATCTTTGATGGAATGTAAATTTAATTGAAATTTCAGAATTTAATTTTACTTTTTAAATCTAACCTTTTTTTCTATCTTCTTACCTTAAAAATCAATTGCTAACAATCAGTGTTCAGGTCCAGAGTAATATTCTGACAGGACAAGTACCATAGCAGAAATGCCATCAAATAGCCATTTGATGTTTACAGTTTCGTTTCAAACATACTAGTCTCAAATTTTCTAAAATATGTAATAGATTAATTTTTAAGCTAATATGCCATCCAAATGCTGCAGAAAAATCATCATGATGAGTGCATGCAGACAATTGACAACAACAAAGCAGACATTGTGTCTCTTGACGCCAATGAAATATTCCTGGGCGGGCGCTACCATTCGCTGGTGCCTATCATGAAGAATGTGTACCAAGGTGAGTGTCAGAGGAATATATCTGTCTAGAGGATTTCACTGTGTACTGAGGTGGATATAGCAGGTGTATGCACAATAGCATATACTTGCAGTATGTACCAAGGTAAAAATCAGACATATTCATAACCTGTGGGTTGCGATGAATATAAAGCTTGGTATTACTGATCTATGGCACCTGTTTTCAATTGTTCCATGGTGAATCAAATAAATTATAATATTTACTTGAGTAATCACACTTGCTGGTTTTGTACAGATGGAGAGAGTGACTTCTACTCGGTGGCTGTGGTGAAGCGTGGCACCCTCAGCGGCTACTCCGGCCTCTACAGCCTGCGTAACGTCACTGCCTGCTTCCCCTCTGTGGCCTCCATGGGCGGCTGGGTCATCCCCATCTCCAGGGTCTGATTGTCATGAAAATATCAATTCTATTTAGCTAAATAAATTAATTGATATTTATTAATGGTAGAACTAGCAAGGTTGTAAATTTTATTTCAATGATTATTCACATTATAATTCAGGCAGGATTTAACTCTCCTTGAACACAATATTAGTAAAGCCTAAAGTTAAGCGCAAGTGCTTCCTTGTGATGTTGCTGGGAAATGTTGTGCTGAATGATGTAGATTATCATGACATCAAAGCCATTTTTATTGTACCAGATTAACATAATTAAATACAAAACCTTTATTTCATTACGAATGTAAATGCAATTTTTCAAAGGATAATATGGCTTACAGCTGATGGAAGCCGGGGCCATGAAGGTGGCAGACTGCAACAACTACGTCAAGTCTGCCTCTGCCTTCTTTGCTGGGGGCTGTGCAGTCAACATCCTGGCAGATAAACATAACCCACTGGGTGAGTAACATCCTGGCAGATAAACAAAACCCACTGGGTGAGTAACATCCTGGCAGATAAACATAACCTGCTGGGTGAGTAACATCCTGGCAGATAAACATAACCCGCTGGGTGAGTAACATGGCAGATAAACATAACCCCTGTCTCTTATACACATCTAGATGTGTATAAGTGCCTAGATGTGGCGTGCCTAGTGTGCCTAGATGTGGCGTGACTAGAGCGCCTAGATATTCAGCATCTTCCGCCCCTGACACGCGTTAAGAGGCTAGCATGTAATTAAATATATCATTTTTTATTGTATTTATTCACCTTCATTTACAAGAACTTGAGTCATGAGAAATTTTTGTATATATTTAATAAGCAACACATGAATTTGTATTAAATTAATTTCAATGAATTTAATGTTTAATAATGATTTCCCCGGCGGGCTGGGAGTAATTTGCATAGTGCACGTACCACGAAAAAATGCAATTTTTTCGCACTTCTAGCCATAATCATTTTTTTTAGGCTTTTAGCCGTAACCAAATTTTTTTAGGCCGTGCCCTGGGCGTTCTGGGACGGCAAGATCTTCCATCACTTCTACCTGCGCGCCAAACTGGGGGCCCGCATAGACGATCTCGTGGACCACAAGGTGAGGGGACCACAAGGTGAGGGGACCACAAGGTGAGGGGGACCATAAGGTGAGGGGGACCACAAACTGAGGGGACCACAAGGTGAGGGGACCACAAGGTTGGGGGACCACAAGGTGAGGGGACCACAAGGTGAGGGGGACCACAAGGTGAGGGGACCACAAGGTGCGNCTTAAACTGTCCTAAACTGTATTAAATTGTCTTAAAATGTCACATGCAAGCACATGTGATAGGTGTGCACCTGCATGCATGACACTGCACCAGATGCACGCACCTGCACCTGTCTCTTATACACATCTAGATGTGTATAAGAGACAGACCACAAGGTGGGTCAGGGGGACAGGTGGGTCAGGGGGACCACAAGGTGGGTCAGGGGGACCACAAGGTGGGTCAGGGGGACCAAAAGGTGAGTCTGGGGGACCACAAGTTGAGGGACCACAAGGTGGGTCAGGGGGACCACAAGGTGGGTCAGGGGGACCACAAGTTGAGGGACCACAAGGCGGGTCAGGGGGACCACAAGGTGAGGTGGACCTCAAGGTGGGTCAGGGGGACCACAAGGTGGGTCAGGGGGACCACAAGGTGGAGGACCACAAGGTGGGTCAGGGGGACCACAAGGTGGGTCAGGGGGACTACAAGGTGTGGTGGACCACTAGGTGGGTCATGTGGTGTGGACCACTGGGTGGGTGTGATTGCGTTGGTTCACCCACTGATACCACCCCTGGTACCACTAACCCCCGTCCCCCCGTCCCCCCCAGGAGCCGCTGCTGCGGGAGTTCCAGGAGATCAAGTCTCTCATCGCCGCCCACATCCCCGTCCTCCCCCCGCCCCCTGCCCACCACGGCTCCCCCAAGTCCAGCCCCAAGAAGTCCCCCAGCAGTATGACCAGAAGCTCGTCCCGCTCTCCAGCCCACTCACCGCCCACTCAACCCCCTCACCCGCCCACAACCCTCAACATCAGCAAGCCCAACTACAGCAGCGGGTCCCCTAGGATCTCCCCCCGTGGGTCACCACTCTCGCCCCACTCCCCCCATCTCAAGAAGATCCTACAGAAAGCCAATACTCCCCCAAGCTACAAGTCCCCCGTCAAGAAAGGCCCCCACGTCAAGGGGACCGTATCCCCAGCACTGGTCAAGTCCCCTGTCAAGAAGCCACCTGTCAAGGGGGGCACGGTGTCCCCCGCTCTGGTCAAGTCCCCCGTCAAAGGGGGGACGGTCTCCCCCGCTCTCATCAAGTCCCCTGTCAAGAAGCTCCCCCAGACCACGGCCATGTGATTCGGCCAGTCCCCCCTTGAGACGCAGATCTGAATTTGTCCTCTTATTGTAACTTTAATTATAATTTAACTAATTATTTATATATATTTACGAATATCAAATGCCAAACACGACGAAAAAACTTTGTCTATGTCCAGGGGGGGGGGGGCAAGTTTGAATATGTGTTATGAGCCGCTGAAATGCGTGTTACGAGCCGCTGAAATGCGTGTTATGAGCCGCTGAAATGCGTATTATGAGCCGCTGAAATACGTGTCATCAGCCGCTGAAATGCGTGTTACGAGCCGCTTCTTCTATACACGAAAATCTGACGATGGCGGCGTTACACTTACAAAATGAATAGGACTTTGTCCAAATTTTGATGCACTTATGGCCGTGCAGACAATGTATGCACTTATGGCCGTGCAGACCCAGTATGGCCGTGCAGACAATGTGTCTGCACATTTATCCAAGTGTTGGTATTTACTCTTCAGAAATCAAAAGACTAGGATTGTTCAGAACCTTAAGCTTGAGAATTCAACGCAACCGCCAGGACTTCCCTTCTTATTAACTTAGAAGGATCTTATTGCCATCTTCATATCCTGATGCAGGATCTCCAGTTGATGGAAATATTATTTGATGGAAAATACCCTTTCTGTGAATTTAGCGAAGAATTTGGAAGAATCGATAAAGATTATCGATTAATTTACCACGTTTTCTTATTTCCATGGCAAAATTAGAGCTATGAATTTGTACGAGCACGTATACTAGAACCGATAAACTAGACTGCTTAAATAAACTACATAGTTTTTGACTGATAATATATACACGTGTTTTTTTAGTCATGATCTTACATGAGTTTTTTGACGTCGGGACCACAGTGTTAAAAATCGCGGGCGTTTCACCGTCCAAATTAGGCGCCGCCCAGCTTCTGGTAATCGGACGCTGACGCGACTCTAAATTTGGTTCGGTGTGTTTGCGGCGAAGTGTTGTGCGGCTTTGAGTCGCGTTTTGCTTGAAAGTTTTGCCGGCCACACGCGTACGTCAACTCTTCCGTAGCCATTCTGTTCCTAGGTGACACGTGCACGTGATTACTGTACATAAACGTGACACGATCAATTTAAGAACCTAAGCCAAACTATCACCAGAATTATTATCTCGGCTGAAGAATGTCTTCATGCATCCGTAGGATTGCATGTTCACTTACAGCATTTTCATTAGTGTATACTACACTGGACAACACATGCGAGGTCTTTGTAACGTGTTAATTAAATTTGAAAATCATCAATAGAGTTCCCATGCAGTCTAATGAATGAAGAAAGGGATATTTTCTTGGATGAAAGACAATATTTCATTGATTAAATAAACTGACGGCAACTTCAGTCGTGCGCTGGAAATTGACGGATTTGGCACCGTAACGTCACGTTACGTCGCCTTTTTAAGCGACGTTCTTAATATTTACGTCGTTTTACGTTAACTTTAAAACTGTGATGCTGTGGAGTCATTTGCGATTCTGTGGTATCTCGTTTGTCTCTTTATTATACCATTAAATTTCCTTTAAAGTTAACCATTACTTACTGCCCATTATCATCATAGTCGTCGCGCTAACCATAACTTGCTGCCCATTATCATCATAGTCGTCACGCTATAACCATAACTTGCTGCCCATTATCATCATAGTCGTCACGCTATAACCATTACTTGCTGCCCATTATCATCATAGTCGTCACGCTAACCATTACTTGCTGCCCATTATCATCATGGTCGTCACGCTAACCATTACTTGCTGCCCATTATCATCATAGTCGTCGCGCTAACCATTACTATCGCTGTGCCGGCATAATCAAACCACGCTTAATGTGCTCACTCTAATTACGAGGTCCTTAATTCGGTTATTATTTAGGCCTTCTAAGATAAACACCTTTACTAGTCTTAATGAGGCACGTAATTAAGCTTAATTTGTCACCTAAGTGCGCAGATTGGGCGCCTCATTAGGCAAGATCTGCCACCTAATGAGGTGATATTTGGCCCTACTTACTTCGAAATGGGTGCTTGACTAGGTTCTTTGCTACAACTAATAGTGCTTTATTTTGCGCCATAACTAGCACCTAATGACGCCGAAAGAGGCACCTAATTCTGCACTTAAGAGCGCCTAGTGCACGCACCAGCACCTAGTGCACGCACCTGCACCTAGTGCACGCACCAGCACCTAGTGCACGCACCTGCACCTAGTGCAAGCACCTGCACCTAGTGCACGCACCTGCACCTAGTGCACGCACCTGCACCTAGTGCAAGCACCTGCACCTAGTGCACGCACCTGCACCTAGTGCACGCACCTGCACCTAGTGCAAGCACCAGCACCTAGGATAGTCCGCTGCTAGTTACCGTCTCGAGGCCAGAGCCTCCTGTCGCGTCCTGCCTAAAACTATGTACTTGATTACTAATAAACTAGTTCATTTGTTAGCTAATTATTCGATCATAATCTTAATGAATATTTGTGATTATTATAGTATAGTCTTAAGAATATCGGTACCTGGAGCTGCGGTACCTAGAGCTGCGGTACCTGGAGCTGCGGTACCTGGAGCTGCGGTACCTGGAGCTGCGGTACCTAGAGCTGCGGTACCTGGAGCTGCGGTACCTGGAGCTGCGGTACCTAGAGCTGCGGTACCTGGAGCTGCNTTCACTCCCATCACCTTCACTCCCATCACCTTCACTCCCATCACCTTCACTCCCATCACCTTCACTCCCATCACCTTCACTCCCATCACCTTCACTCCCATCACCTTCACTCCCATCACCTTCACTCCCATCACCTTCACTCCCATCACCTTCACTCCCATCACCTTCACTCCCATCACCTTCACTCCCATCACCTTCACTCCCATCACCTTCACTCCCATCACCTTCACTCCCATCACCTTCACTCCCATCACCTTCACTCCCATCACCTTCACTCCCATCACCTTCACTCCCATCACCTTCACTCCCATCACCTTCACTCCCATCACCTTCACTCCCATCACCTTCACTCCCATCACCTTCACTCCCATCACCTTCACTCCCATCACCTTCACTCCCATCACCTTCACTCCCATCACCTTCACTCCCATCACCTTCACTCCCATCACCTTCACTCCCATCACCTTCACTCCCATCACCTTCACTCCCATCACCTTCACTCCCATCACCTTCACTCCCATCACCTTCACTCCCATCACCTTCACTCCCATCACCTTCACTCCCATCACCTTCACTCCCATCACCTTCACTCCCATCACCTTCACTCCCATCACCTTCACTCCCATCACCTTCACTCCCATCACCTTCACTCCCATCACCTTCACTCCCATCACCTTCACTCCCATCACCTTCACTCCCATCACCTTCACTCCCATCACCTTCACTCCCATCACCTTCACTCCCATCACCTTCACTCCCGTCACCTTCACTCCCATCACCTTCACTCCCTCATCCCACCCGTAACCCCCATAACCCCTCATAACCCTCCCCGTAGCGCCTCATAACCCCCAACTCACCCAACCCCCGTAACGCCCCATAACCCCCAGCCGTAACCCCCGTAACAAGACGCTGCGTTACAGCCGCGAAGTAATAGCGTTATGTCGCTTAGGTCTGCGCGTTCTGCTGTGTGTTATTTGTCTTGATAATTACATTCTATTTGTTACATGTAACCTCTCGTTACTATATCTGTTACTAAACGATGCTATTGATTACATGTAACTATAGAGGCCTCTAGTTACATGTAACTAGAGGTGTCTAGTTACATGTAACTAGAAGTGTCACTGCTGCCGTCACTGTACTAATGTCACTAATACACTTTTGCTCTTGTAACGCGTCACTTATTGTCACGGGTGAGGGTACAGCGGGTGAGGGTACAGCGGGTGAGGGTACAGCAGGTGAGGGTACAGCGGGTGAGGGTACAGCGGGTGAGGGTACGCAGGTGAGGGTACAGCAGGTGAGGGTACAGCAGGTGAGGGTACAGCAGGTGAGGGTACAGCAGGTGAGGGTACAGCGGGTGAGGGTACAGCAGGTGAGGGTACAGCGGGTGAGGGTACAGCGGGTGAGGGTACAGCGGGTGAGGGTACAGCGGGTGATGAGGCAGCCCTACATAGGGAGGCCCTCACCAGAGGGCGGCTGAGGGCTCATGCCCTCGCATACATCAGGGCCGCAGATCGCATATCACATGAAGACGAGCGCGCATTATGCTGCGTCATGCTCACCTGCACCCCATGCATTACACGTCTTAATTACCTCCATTACCACCCTCGTCACTGACGCGTATCTGTGATACGCCTGCAACACGCCTTAATTACCTCCATTACCACCCTCGTCACTGACGCGTATCTGTGATACGCCTGCAACACGCCTTAATTACCTCCATTACCACGACGCGTATCTGTGATACGCCTGCAAAACGCCTTAATTACCCCCATTAACACCCTCGTCACTGACGCGTATCTGTGATACGCCTGCAACACGCCTCAATTACCTCCATTACCTCATCAGGGGCGCGTATCTGTGATACGCACGTGAAATAATTTATCGTCAATTGTTTCGTGTGATTCAGGAGTCGTCGCGCCCGTTTGTAAATATTTTTAAGGAAGTCCAATAAAATTATTTGGGAATCATGACAGCATTTCGATGTTTTTATTACAACACTTTTCTTTAACTTCACTTCTTGTTTGTTCGTCTGTCTGCTACAAATCTTATAATCAATATTTATCACACTTCTACCTGTCCAATCAATCTGAAATTGTGCACACTTGCGCAAAGTTGGAAACAATGAATGAATCAATTGTCAGAATAAATAATTTTATAAAATTTATATTTTTGTTAACATTTAAAAAAAATTTTAAAATCATTTCTTTTAATATTTAAAAATAAAGTAATAAATTCAATGTAAATGTGTAACATTGCAGACACTGGATTCGTGAGAAGTGTCTTTATAAAGTAATTCGTAAACACATATTATTTGAAGACTCCAACACAAAAATGTGCATTCCATAAGCGTTTCATCAAAGCTAGAATATGAAGCATTGGCATAAAAAGAAAACGCGGACATTTCTGTCTCTTCCTAAAGCAAGAATTCAGATAACAAAAAGACTGGTGAGAAAATCCCTGCCGTAGAAGGAAGTTGTCCCCCTGCTCTGTCAGGGAGGGGGAGGTGTCTTGGGGGAGGGGGAGGCAACTCGAGCACAAACCTGTTTAGTAACCTTTGCGACGTGGTGAGGGGTGAAGTGCGTCACTCCCGGTGTGTTAGTATTCGAACGATCCTTCACCAGTGCCGCCCTATACACAAAATGCCGATCTTAGGAGGATGTTTATGCTTTGATCTGCCAGTAAGTTTATAGTAGCTAGGAAGCGGTAGACAGCTTGTTAGTCTTCTGACTTTCAAGCTGCGAAGGTCACCCATAAACCGCTAAAATTCTTTTTCAATCGTAAATTAAAATGGAAAAATACGACTTGGAAACCGTTGAGTATTGCATGCAATTCACTAAGCGCATCTTTTTGGTGGCGAGCGACGACTAAACGAGGCGTTGGCAGTCCACTTGTTGCTGCTCCTCTTGTTCTTTTTGTTACTGCTGCTCCTGTTGTTCTTGTTACTGTTGTTACTGCTGCTCCTGTTCTTGTTGTTACTGTTGTTACTTGCACTGGTTTGGATGTGTTGTGGTATGCTAGCTGTGGGTTATGGAATGGAGGTGGTGTGGTTTGTGGTGTGGTTACGGAGTGAAATTGTGGTGATGGTGTGTTGTTGAGATATCGGCCTTAGTTATACCTGTGGTGATGTGAGTGGTGAAGTGCTATTGGCGTTAGTGGTGATGTTGAGGAGAGGAGGTGGTGGAGAGTTGAGGTCACCAGCATCACGTTGGCTGCCAAATGTTGCACCGCCGATGCTGGCTGCCCTGCCTGCTTGCGGCGCTGTGTGGCCTCCATCATTACAGGCGGGCAAACATATTGTGTAAAAACAGCCAACGTGTGTGAGTATACAGCCGGTGTGTGGCCCGGGGTGAGGATAATAATAATTGAGTAAACGGCTACACCTAGACAGCCTCCCCCCCTCACCTAGACAGCCTCCCCCCCTCATCTAGACAGCCTCCCCCCCTCACCTAGACAGCCTCCCCCCCTCATCTAGAC